TCTTCTTTACCCTTTCATTAGTGCTAACATACATATACACAACTGGCTCACAGCAGAGCAATAATGGATATGCTCTGACGCCAGCCAAGGGTGCTCATTCTAGTCTAAACATTTGCAGTCAGACAGCAAGCCAATAGTCTAAAATCAGCACTGACAGGAATCTCCCCATATACTAGAGAACTATTGTCCCACTCCATTTCACTGAAATAAATGCAGCCTGTTCATAAGCTTGCTGCTTTCATTGAATAATACTAAAAAAAAAAAAAAAAAAAAAAAAGATGTAACTCAAATGTAAACCAAAGTAATTCAATGATTGCAATCAATTTTCCCTTTATCCATGGCACAAACAACTGTAGACTAGCACTGTGTTTTACAGCTTTCTAAGCCTGTTCTGATATGTAAAAAAGTACAAAAATAACCAATGGACTATTGCATGTATAAAATGCTATAAGTAATCCACATTTAAAATATCTAGTTTACAGAATAATTTATAAAATTCTAGAAATGTACAATCTTAGAAAAATGATTAAAATGGAGAAGTGCCTTCATAATATTTATGATTAAGATGTTAAAGTTGTTTTGTTAAAATTTACTTTTGAAATCACCTAGGTACACTATTAAATTCTGGGTCATTCTACTACGTCTATGCTTAAAATCAACATTAGTATTTGCTTCTTTATTTAATTCAAAAGTTTCGATTTCTTCTTTTCAACAAGTCCTGAAAAATAAGTCAATTAACACAAAATAATATCCCGTTAGACAGACTTGTTTTATTGTTGACAAAAAGAGAAGCTTTTCTAAGTTTTGTATCTGAAGGTCTAAAATCTAAACCAGAATTAGAGTATACTATGAAGTATTCTTCAGAACTATTCTCTTAAAATAATATAAAAGTATCAAACAAATTTTGAACACTTGAGTTATGTATGGTACAAGAAACTTGATTCTTTAAAATGCAATGTTAGAGCACCCTCTGCTGACTAATCAACTCAAATCACTTTAAAAAGAAAAGGAAAACACACACACACACACACACACACACACACACACACACAGCCCACACTAATATCCTTACATTTGAGTTAGATCAGCCCTTTCCTCTTTCCAAGTGATTTTAAAAAGTTAAACAGACAAAAGACTGTAGAGGCTAAAGCATCAATCAAATAAAACTTCCCTGGAATATCTCTACAAATCAACAACATATTAAGTACTCATTAAGTATATGACACTGCTCTTAAATATTCTGCTATTCTAATCTGGACAAATTAACATAAGCAATTAGAAAAAATATATAGAATTGGAGAAAACAACTGATAAATAGAATATCAGCAGGTGTCGTGGAAAGAGCCCTGAACTAAGACTCTCAAAAATCTGGTCCTACTTGCTTATTTGCACAAGTTATTTTATTTATTTTAGCTTTCTCAGTTTTCTCAATAAAAGAGACTAATTTAGATTCATCCATTCCTTAAACAAACATTGACTTAGCATATCTCACATGCTACTGCCTAAGGTATAATACAAAGCCTCAGCTTAAGCATCTCATGCAGACATTTAAACAATTATAAAAACAATAAGTACAAATAGGAAAGGACTTGTAAAGGGAAAAGAAATAGCAATTCATGGTCTTTCTTTTTTTAAAATAAGTTGTCTAAATTGGTGTTTAATTTACTTTCTCACTTGAATTTATTTAAAACTCCAAAGAATCCTATATAATAAAAAACTAATATGCAAATAGACTGAACAGCAGAACAATTAGTGGAGTGACTGGTAGCTACGTGCACTGACCACCAGGAGCTGCCCCAGGCCGGCAGGCCCCAGACCAGCCAAGGTGGTGCCAGCGGGGAGTCACCCAATCATTTTGCCATTCGCCCCGCAGAGGGAGGCGACCAATAGAGGTGGCAGGGGGAGGGGAGTACCAGCACGCCTCCTCCACCCTTCACCCTACCAGTTACCCCACAGATCGCCAGCTAAGCCTAGAGACCCTACTCATGCAGGATTTCGTGCATTGGGCCTCTAGTCAAGTATAAGAAAGAAACTATCAATCTTCTCAAATAAATGCTCCTCTACTCTTAACATACTTGTATGGTCTCAAAAGCCCAAATCCTAGAAAGCTTCAGTAGTAGCTGCCACAATGATTACCCTATCCTATGAGGTTTACCGCTTAATTAAATGACAGGTATTTACTGATAGCCTATTTCCAGGAAGATAGTTCTTTTAACACAGGATAAAAAAATATTGTTGGGAACAGAGAGAAAAGATTAAGAGTTAGCCCAGATCCTGGATTACACTCATGCCTCTGAAAGTTATTCATTCCTTATATGGAGTACCTAACCATACTAAAGGCAAGTGTACCTAAAGCCATTAAACATTATACAATGAGCTTACAGCAAGCAAGACGTAACTATGCAAGTGGTAACATACATTAAAAAGTTAACACCCCAAAAACTAAAATGAACAAAGATCCATGAACACAATTACTTTCATATACCGTAAGCTCTCTAAAAGGAGAAATAATTTCGTTGTTTAATAAGACATTCAAAGGAATAAATACTGACAAAAGTAGGAACATGATATATTTATGTCAAAGATATTACTCTGTAGTAACAGTGATATATGGGCCCAAATATTATTTATTGACAGCATATGAAGAATATAAACCAATAGAATACAAACAATATCAAATACAAAAATAGCCTCCATACAAGACAGATTAAAACAGCATCTGACGGATGATAACTTAACAACCATTTACTATAAAAGCTAAATTGAGGTTTCCTATCTTTTCTAGAATCTCTCAATTGGGGGGTGGTTTTACAACTCCCAAAAAGCACTATTAACATGACTAGAGGGAATATTTATTGGTGTTAGTAGGTAGAGGCAAGGGCTGTTGCTAAAAATCCTACAATGTACAGGGTAGCCCTCTCCCAACAAAGAATTATCCAGGTCAAAGTGTCAATTGGACCCTTGCTGAGAAATCCTGCTCTACAATGGTTAAAATAGCAAAGCCTGGTGTCAATCATACAGATTCTTACAATAATCTATAACAAATACATATAAACAATGCAATTATAATATCCAATTAGAATATAGAGATTGCTCCTCTTATACTTCAAGAACATAGCTATATCTTATTATTACTCACCTACAATCTTTTCCCCTCTCTCCTTTCCCACTACTCTCCTGACCCTTGCTCCTCTTATACTTGCTCCTCTTGCTCCTTCTTAAAAGAAGGTGGTTCTTTTAAGCCACCTTCTTATTCCAAAACCTCCAATTCTTCTGAGAAATAAAAAGACCCAGAAAAAAACACTAATTATCTATCTTGCCTGAAGTCTAGAACCATTCAAGAGTCATGAATTTGATATATGATCATAAAGCTCAGTAGTATTGGTTTTATGTGGTTTGTTGTTATTTTTTTAATCCTCACAAGGGGATATGTTTCCTCTGATTTTAGAGAGAAAGGAAGCGAGGGGGAGAGAGAGGGAGGAAGGAAGGGAGAAAGTGAGAGAGGGGAAGGGAGAGACAGACAGACAGACAGATATCAATGTGAGAGAGAAACATCAATCAGTTGCCTCCCATACGTGCCCCAAACCTGCAACCCAGATACGTGCCCTGACTGGGAATCAAACCCATGGCCCTTCAGTGCTTAGAACAATGCTCCAAACAATTGAGCCACACCAGCCAGGGCAAGATCATTAAGGAACTTTGTCATCCTGTCCCAGAACCACCTCAAAATTGTAGAGATGTGACCAGTAATATGAAGTATCATCTTAGATATGTCTGCACTATTACAAAAAATTTACTCATGAGCACAAGGTGAATTCCAAAAGTTCACTCCTTGTTTCTAAACAATCTTAAATTCAGCCACACTTATTAAACACATACAGCTTCCTTTTATTTAAATCACTTTTAAAACTCATTTTAACAGTCTCATATTCAGAAAATAAGTCCATTTTTAACCTGTTTCTACTCTTCATATTTCATTTATATTTTGATTCAGTTTGTATCCACTTGGCAGCATTTCAACACTATAACCACTTTTTCATATTCTTCTCTCTGCAATTTCTCCAGTTTAATTGAATATGTTTGGAAGCACAACAAACAAAACTCCCAATAATAGAGGAAGTATAAAATACATCATCTGTATATGGATAAACACAAACTCAGGATTATTTTTTCAATATAATTCTTAAAAGTAATATAATACCAAAATTATTTTTCACATAAAAAGGAAATCAATATACTTTAAATACTAAACCAAGGCTAGATAAAATGTGCTTATGGCCTAGTGATCAACTAAATGTGGCCATCGGTTTAAAAGATGTCATTGGAGATAATCATGCTTATATATAAAGATCTGTAAAGATTTTGAAGATAGAAACAAAATTGAATAGATACAAAAAAAGTGTCACAGAGTGACTTATTTATTAAGGGGTTTTAAATACATTTGAAAAACAACAACAACCCATAAACAAATATATTATTGTAACATTTAAAAATCTATTAAAAATATACAAATCTAGCGAAACCGGTTTGGCTCAGTGGTAGAGCGTCGGTATGCAGACTGAAAGGTCCCAGGTTCAATTCTGGTCAAGGGCATGTACATGGGTTGTGGGCACATCCCCGGAAGGGGGTATGCAAGAGGCAGCTGGTCCATGTTTCTCTCTCATCAACATTTCTAGCTCTCTATCCCTCTCCCTTCCTCTCTGTAAAAAATCAATAAAATATATTTAAAAAAATATATATATATATATACATACACACACACACACACACACACACACACACACACACACACAAATATCTATCCAATCTCCCATGAATCCAAATGGGAGGCAGAAATATTTTTCATAAAATAGTCTAATAATAGTTTAAAATTTACTGTGTTATATGAGCTAGGCCAGTGATTTCTTTCTTTACAGAGTTGTTAAAAATTGCTTCAGGGCACTATACCTTCTTAAGGTAGCATATACTCAATTCTTAATAATGCAGAAAAATTCACTCACCATTTCAGTGGCGTGCCTTCATGTTCAAACCATATCTCACTGATGTCTTCTTGTCTCATAACCTTCTGAAAGTGCTTTTTCACTTTGTCAGTTACCAACGTCAAATAACTTACTCTTGGCAAAAGTAACTGAAATGAAAATTTATAAACCATATTTATTTATTATTAAAATAAGCTTTTGAATTTTAAGGAAAAACACCATATTATCTGCATTATTTTGAATATTCTACACAAAATCAAAGGCTAAAGGTTAAGATGTTAAAAATTTCTTATGAGATCATTACTTTAAGTATAGCTTATAGCATAAATGCCTAGAATAAGCAATATAAATCTAAGTATACTCTTTTATAATTTCCTCCAAATAAAAGAACAATGTAACCAAATGCCATACTAATTAGGATACTTAGTACTTCAAGTAACTTTAACTTAAAAATATGAATCAACTTAAACTATAAAAATAATTAAACTGTTATGAGAGCATAATCAACTCAGTCCACTGGTGTGACTTTTCCTCCTTTGCAGTATAGTCCCTCTAGCCATTTCTAGCTTTCCTAAGCTTCGGTTTTATTTTGCTGATAAAATTGTTTTTATACACTTTTTCTGTTGCTTTTGTGTGTATAACTGCATCTTTCTTCATACTGCTTATTTAAGATTATGTCTCCGGTAAATCAAGTAAAACTACTGGGCTGGAGTATATATACAAAGGGAAATATTCTGGTAAAAGGAAGTGATATTTATTCAGTTAAGCTCAAGATAACAGGCTCTGAGTAGGTAAGAGAACATGACAGTGATCCTGGGGACTACAGAGAATGAGGGTGTGGGAGGCATGCTCCAGCATGGAATAGATGGTACTAATTCTATGAACAAGCTGTTGGATATTATTGTGGATTGAAAAGAACATAAGGTCCTCTTTTATAAAGAAACGACTAGAATGTGATAGAAAAGAAAAGAAAAAGGGAACTAACACCAGTATAAAGAAAAGCACTCATTTACAGGAAATAGTACCACTTCTATTTTGTATACAGTTTAAATAACTTTCCACATTCATATTCTATTACATAAATGGCAAAGAAAAGATTCATTAGAGTCAGAAATAACAGCATCAGATATAGGTGAAACATGGACAGACTCTAAGAAGTTAAAGCAGCATAGTAACTTAGCCATTTAAAAATAAATACATACATATAATCTATCAGTCTAATAAACTTTGTAATTCTGAACTTTAACTTAAAATGTCTGTTGGACATTTAATAATAATAATCATCATGTGTTCTGTAGAGGATTATATTAACTTATGGAGACTGTAAGAAGAAAGACATATTAGGACTAATGAGTATGGACCAGCTCCTGATTTTAGGGAGTACCTACAATTTAATCAAAGTTGCTGAAAATTCTCAAATTATTTTCATGAAACAAAAACTTCTTTACAATAAGGAAATGAAGCCGAAACCGGTTTGGCTCAGTGGATAGAGCGTGGGACTGAAGAGTCCCAGGTTCGATTCTAGTCAAGGGCATGTACCTTGGTTGCGGGCACATCCCCAGTAAAGGGTGTGCAGGAGGCAACTGATCGATGTTTCTCATTGATGTTTCTAACTCTCTATCCCTCTCACTTCTTCTCTGCAAAAAAAAAACCAAAAAAAAACACAATAAAATATATTTTAAAAAAAAACAATAAGGAAATGAAGAACATTAGAATGTAAGCTCCATTAAGATAGTAATATTTGTGTTTTGTTCACTGCTACAGTTCCAATGCCCACAACATTATAGTAGGCACACAATAAATATTTGCTGTGAGAATCAGAGATGTCAAAGGTTAAAGTGGGACAAAAGGCCAAAAACATTAATTAATAAATAATGCCTCTCCTTAAGATGGAACTACAGGGAAGTGTACTTATTATAGAATCTTCTGTTCCAAATTGGCCTATGGTAGTAATAATCTATAACATATAAATATTTACAGTAATTCCAAGAAATAATTCTAAAACTTAAGAATGACTATATTAAATACAATTTATTCAGTAAATTTTAAATAAGTATCTAGTAAATAAATAGGTAAAAATGAAAAGATAATAACAGCAAAAATACATCATCCTGCCTTATACATCCAGATTGTACCACTCTTTTTTCATAGGTGCATCTCACTAGTTTACTTTTTTTAAATACTAGTAAAATACAATTAGCATAAAATTTTTCCTATTATCCATTTTTAAGTGTATAGTTCAGCGGCATCAAATACATTCACACTGTTGTGCAACCATGAACACTATCCATTCTCCAGATTGTTTCATCATCTCAAACTCAAATTTTATACTTATTAAACAATAATTTCCCCATTTTTCTCTCCCCCTTGCCTAGGTAATCACTTTTCTACTTTGTCTTTTGATTTAGACTATTCTAGATACCTCATTGATATAGATCATATGCCCTGGCCATGTGGCTCAATTGGTTCAGTGTCACCTCAAGCACCAAGAGGTCACTGGTTTGATTTCAGGGCTTATGCACATGCCCGAATTGGGGGCATGCAGGAGGCAGCCCACTGATGTTTTTCTCTCTTGATGTTTCTCTCTCTCTCTCCCCTGCTCTCTCACAAATCAATAAAAGCATATCTTAAAAAGTAAATGGATCATAAAATATGTCCCTTCCTGCTCACCACCTATTGGGAAGCCTACAATCCAGCCATGTGCCCTGACAGGAAATCCAACTGGCAACCTCCTGATATATAGGTTGATGCTCAACCACAGAGCCACACCAGCCAGAATTAAACATATTCTGATTCAAAAGTAAAACATAATATATTTTTCAGTTTTTGTCACTTTGACCAACTAGACACTTATTCTCCTTTGTTTAGGCACTATTAGAAAGCTATTCAAGATTAAAAATTTTAATTAAAATATATAAATCTAGTTTGAAATAAAACAAAAATGCTATCCTAATCAATATAGAAGAATTAGAGGAAAAACATATCTAACAAGTAAAATTCTTCTAAAAATAAACTATGGTTATATTTTGTTTTTAATTACAGAAGTTTTTCTAAAGGCAGAAATGCAAATTGTTGAGATTTCCAGCAGTCTGACTTCCCATCACTCAGGAGCGGTGCTGCCTCCCAAACAGAGATGTGAAAATGCAAAGGGCATGCTTTATTAAAGGAAACAAGGAATAGTCCAGAATTATATGGACATTTTCCACTTTTCCAGAACCTCCTGGGTAAATGATATTACATATATATGAGACACAAAAAGAAAAAAACTCAAATAATGACAACTGAGAATGTCTCTGCCTATTAGGTGCTATCCAGTAAACAGTCAGGACACTATTATTTTTGACAAATGCTTAGGTTTGGAAAAAAGAAAAAAACAAACAAAACAGGCTAAATTCAGAATATATTTGATATTCTCTTTAGAACAGATAATAACTCAAACCACAAGTCTACTTACAGCAATTTTTGTTACTAAATAATATCTATACTAATAAAAGGGTAATATGCTAATTAGACTGGGAGACCTTCCAGAATTTATTCTGGACAAACCCATGGTGGTGGAGCCGAGGTAGAGGCGATTAGAGGCCAAGAGGGGAGGGCAGTTGTGGGTGATCAGGCTGGTGGGGGAGGGTGCTGTTGGGGGTAAGCAGACCAGTTGGGGATGAGCAGGACATCAATGGGGGTCAGTTGGAGGTGATCAGGATGGGGGGGGGCAGTTTGCAGTGAGCAACCCAGCAGAGGGGCAGTTGGGGCAAGCAGGCTGGTGGGGGGACAGTTGGGGGTGAGCACACTGGCGCGGGGGGTGCATTTGGGAGCGAGCAGGCTGGTGATGGGGGGCAGTTGGGGTTGAGCAGGCTGGTATGCAGAGTGAGAGGTTAGGAGCCAGCAGTCCCAGATTGTGAGAGGGTTGTCCAACTGCTGGTTGAGGCCTGATCCCTGTAAACCGCAGTATGACATCCTTCAAGTTGTCCCAGATTGGAAAGGGTGCAGGCCAGGCTGAGGGACACACCCCCCCCACACACACACACACAAATTTCGTGCAGCGGGCCATTAGTATTTTATATAATATAGAGTAGCTCATTGACATGTGAAAAAGCATACACACATGTTCACTAAGATATAATAAAGAATGTATCAAATAGTTTCTTGGAACCACCTCAAGACAAAAAAAATCAAATCTGAATGTATTATTTTCAAATCAGCTTCCTGTTAAAACCAGCACATAACTTCTGATTCCATCATCAATGTATACATATTGCATAAGAAAAACAAAGTCAAGAAGTTCCCATAACAATATGTCAACAGTGTTTTTCCATTCTGGGTGATAAAAATAGAGGCAATTTTTATTTCATTTCTTTTGCTGATCTGTGTTTTCTAATTTTCTATAATAAGCATGTACTAATTGTATATAAAATGTTGAACAATAGCCTCCAGGTTTTTAGAGTTTTGTTTATAAAAATGAACAAAGTTAGATATCCGATTTGCCACCATCAACATACTTACATAATATGGTTCTGCTTCCCGTTCAGTTATCTCATCCTGATACAGGGTGAAGCAAGTTGGAATACGACCAAACCACACATCTCGAAGCACATCTTTGTCATCTGTCATTCTTCCAGTGGTTAAAGCAGTACATATAGGCTAAATTCTTTTTTCAACCAAAGCTAAACTGAAAATAAAATGAGGAGCATTAATCAGATCCTTGCAAGGATGAATGAAAGAAAGATTTTAGAAAAAAAATGAATGCAACAAATTCTAAATACAGAGCCATTAATTATTTAAAGGAATCATAGATGTAGCCAATTCAAAATTATAACATAGGCTAATGAGCCACAGCCACAGTGAAACTGTACATGCATCATTTTCAAGTCTATACATCATTTCATTTAAAGTGAACTCTTCACTGATGTCCTAAGGTTCCCAGAGTACACCACCAAAATATCCCAATTACCCCTGCCCTATATATATTTTTAAAAATACATATTATTATTGATTTCAGAGATAGAAACATCAATGATGAGAATCATTGATCAGCTGCCTCCTGCATACCCCACATTGGGGACTGAGCCCACAACTTGAGCATGTGCCCTGACCAGGAATCGAATTGTGACCTCCTAGTTCCGTGGTCAGCAAACTGCAGCTTGCAAGCCACATGTGGCTCTTTGGCCACTTGAGTGTGGCTCTTCCAAAAAATACCATGGCCTGGGCGAGTCTATTTTAAAGACATGGCATAGAAGAAGTTTAAGTTTAAAAAATTTGGCTCTCAAAAGAAATTTCAATCGTTGTACTGTTGATATTTGGTTCTGTTGACTAATGAGTTTGCCAACTACTGTCCTAGTTCATAGGCTGACACTCAAACTCTGAGCCACAACGGTCAGGCCCTGACCCACATTTAAACCTCTTCCACTCCAAATACTATCAATATTTGATTTTACCAGTATTTCCAATCTTATTTACTACTAGAGGCTCGTGCACAGATTCATGCACATTGAAAGGAAATATTTAGAAAAAATATTTTAATATCACTATTCACCCTTTCTCTATAATAGAAGTGTCAACCAAATTAACAATTGACAATGATAGATGGAAACACAGGTGTGACTGGCACCAGCAAAAGCTTCATATGTATCATGCTTACACGAGTCAACTGAGCTTTTTATAGATATAGAATAAATATGCTTAATTAGACCTGCTTTCTGACTTAGATAAACTTTTTCCAGGCCAGTGAAGCACCCCCCGCCCCCCAACTTCTCTTTCAGGTAATTGTCAGCAACACAGCAATTAATATCAACACAAAGCAGATTATTATTGTAGATCACACAGGGAGAACAGAGGATAAAATATTTATCTGCAGCAGTGCTTGATTATATTCTGTACAGTGAGAAAACCTGGTCATTTTCAAGTTCCACCATTTCTTAATGAAAAGAAAAATAGGATTCCATTGAGTCTCCTCTCTACATACTATAGGACTTCTCTGAGGATCAAATGAGATGAGGCACGGGAAAACACTTCATAGACATTTGGTTAAAGTGTGAAATGTTTCCATATGGGTATAAAGTAAGTGGTGTTACTGGGCTGAATAAACTGCAAAGAGGCTAGTTGTTGCTAGGGAGAGGAAGTCAGGTGTTGCTATGTGAAATCATTACCTGGTGCCTACAGCCACCATTTCAGGGATGGGCTGTGGGCCATATTTTGCACCATGGGGTCTCAGCAGCATCAGCTGTGATTTTGTGGGCAGTCACTACGGGGTGGTGGTGGGGTCTGTGACCCACTTGGAGGAAGCTGAGTGTTGCTTTGTGGGCACCAGGTCCACAGTGCCATTTCTCTGTGCACATCACAGCAGCTCCTGCATTAAGCGTCTCCCTCTGGTGGCCAAGGTGCATCATAGAGGTCAGACACTTACCATATTAACCTCTCTCTCTCTCTCTCTCTCTCTCTCTCTCTCTCTCTCTCTCTCTATATATATATATATATATATATATATATATCATAGATAATTCATATAGATAATTCATATAGATAATTCATATATATATAACATAGATAATTCATTTTAAACCCTCTAGCAAAATTGGTCCCTTAAAATCTTGCTGCTCTGTTCTACCATCTCCTTGACTAGTATGCTCTCTCACCTATTCAAATCCTACCTACTCTGAAAACCTAGCTCACAATTCTGACCCAATGAGATAGTAAAAGTCCTACTCGAAACACAGAATATTCCTTATATCACAAATATAGCACTAAATCTATAATCTGAAATATTCTGAATATGACAGGACATGGCTTTTGAGCTCTGAAATATCCAACTGTCTTCCAGCACTAATCTACACTAATAAAAGAGTAACATGCTAATTGACAGTACCTTCGCGACACCCACCAACCAATCATAAGTATGCAAATTAACCCAACAAAGATGGAAGGTTAATTTGCATACGCAGTCACTGAGCAGCCGGGATGCTTGCGCCATCACCATAGCGAGGACACAGGCATTCCGCACCATCCCAGCTGCTCCAGGCCTCTGACCAGTGTGGGAAGGGGGAAAGTCAGCTCCAGGCCAGAGCAGAAAAGCAGCTCAGCCAGAGCAAATGCAGTGCCACCAGCCAGGGGAAGGAAGGCCCATTCTTTGCACAAATCTTCGTGGATCAGGCCTCTAGTCCAGTGGTCGGCAAACTCATTAGTCAAAAGAGGCAAATATCAATAGTACGATTACAATTTCTTTTGAGAGCCAAATTTTTTAAACTTAAAATTCTTCTTACGCCACTACTTCAAATAGACTCACCCAGGCCATGGTATTTTGTGGAAGAGCCACACTCAAGTGGCCAAAGAGCCACATGTGGCTCGTGAGCCACAGTTGCCAACCATGGCTCTAGTCATGGAGGAATGACTGGTCGTTGTGTTGCACACTGACCACCAGGGGGCAGATGCTCAATGCAGGCACAGCCTCCTGATGGTCAGTGGGCTCCCACAAGGGGAGCGGCGCTCAGCCAGAAGCTGAATTCACGGCTGGTGAGGACAATGGCGGTGGTGGGAACCTCTCCTACTTCCGCTGCAGGGCTAAGGAGCAGCAAGCCAAGCAGTAAGGAGCACCAAGCAGTCAGGTGTTAAAGAGCGAGGGGTCCTGGACTGTACAAGGGCGCAGGCCGGGCTGAGGGGACCCCCCCCCCTTCAGTGCACAAATTTTGTGCACCAGGCCTCTATTATTTTATAACTAGATAACACCATAATACACGGTCTAAGTAAACCCTGAAATAAATACTGCTGGTAGCTAACTACTGATACTCAAAAGCCTTCTATATAATTTGTGTGTGAATATATTTCCCATCTTTTTAAGCTAGCTAATTAATAATTTATCATACTGTTTCTTGCGGAAATATCTTATACTAGAGGCCTGGTGCATAAAATTCATGCATGGGGGTGGGGTGAGGGGTGTCCCTCAGCCTGCACCCTCTCCAATCTGGGACCCCTCGAGGCATGTCCAACTGCCCTCTCACAATCCAGGACTGCTGGCTCCCAACTGCTTGCCTGCCTGCCTTCCTGATTGCCCCTAACTGCTTCTGCCTTCCAGCCTGATCACTCCCTAACCATTCCCATGCCAGCCTGACTAAAGTCTAACTGCTCCCCTGCCAGCCTGTTTGCCCACAAATTCCCTCCTCTGCCAACCTGGGCCCCCTAACTGCCCTCTCCTGCAGGGTTGATCTCCTCCAACTGCCCTCCCTTGCAGGCCTGGTCCTTCTCAACTGCCCTTTCCTGCTGGCCATGTTGTGGTGGCCATCTTGTGTCCACATAAGGACAGGATCTTTGACCACATGGGGGCAGCCATCTTGTGTGTTGGAGTGATGGTCAATCTGCATATCACTCTTTTATTAGATAGGATAATAAAAGCCCAGTGACCATTATATTGGAATGACCAGAATGACTGGTTGCTATGACGCACACTGACCACCAAGTGGGCAGACGACCTGGTGGCCAGTGTGCTCCCATAGCAGCACTGCTCAGCAAGAAGCCAGGCTCACAGTTGATAAATATACTGAAAGAGATGAAAAAAAAAAATCTGCCCAAACCATAAAAACTCTGGTCATCTGAACTGAGTCCAGTGCTCTTTTCAGTATACCTGTGTTTTAACTTTTATTAAGATTCTAGAGCTGAAGCTGGTTTGGCTCAGTGGATAGAGCATTGGCCTATGGACTGAAGGATCCCAGGTTTGATTCCAGTCAAGGGCATGTGCCTTGGTTGTGGGCACATCCCCAGTGGGGAGTGTATAGGAAGCAGCTGATCAATATTTCTTTTTCATTGATGTTTCAGACTCTCTATCCCTCTCCCTTCCTTTCAGTGAAAAATCAATAAAATTAAAAAAAAAAAAAAATAGAGGCCCAGTGCACAGGTGGGGTCCCTTGGCCTGGCTGGCAACTGGGGCCGATCAGAGCCAAGGAAAGTTGGTGGAGGGGGGCAGAAACCGCAGGAGGTTGGCCAGCTGAGGGGAGGGACTGCGGGAAGTTTGCCAGCCAGTCTTGGGGAGTGACTGCAGGAGGTTGGCTGGCTGGGTGAGGTTGGCTATGGGAGTACACTGACCACCGGGGGCAGCTCCTGCAATGAGTGTCTGCCCCCTGGTGGTCAGTGCGGGACACTGCAACTGGCTGACTGGTTATTTAGTCGTTCAGTCATTCGATTGCTTAGGCATATATATACACACACACACACATATATATATATACACATATATATGTATATGTATATGTACATATATGTATGTATACACACACACACACACACACATATGTACTAGAAGCCCGATGCACAAAGATTTGTGCCTTCCTTTCCCTGGCTGCTGGCACTGCTTTTCCACTCTGGCCCAGCCCCTTTTGGCTCTGGCCCCGCCTTCCCATGCTGCCCAGAGACCCTGAGAGACTGGGGGAAGAGCAGAAAGCCTGCGTCCAACCCTAGTCACTTGGGTGCCTGCATATGCAAATTAACCACCATATTTGTTGGATTAATTTGAATATCACTCCTGATTGGCTGGTGGTGTAGCAGAGGTATGGTCAATATTATTAGATAAGACTAGAGGCCCAGTACAAGAAATTCATGCATGGGGCGGTGGGGGGGGGGGGAGGGAG